AAAAAAAAAAAAAAAAAAAATGTGACACTGTAAACCTTCCCTGCAGGCAGAATTGCCCAGAGTTCCAGCTGTTGGACTTCAGAATAGTTTTCTCTTTGTAATATAAGCATGCTTATCTGTCAGTTTCTCATCTGCACACCATTTGGATTATGATATCTTTCTTGGCCAAGGGTGCATTTGTGAAAGGGTAATCATGTTATATTGAGGAAATCATTAAATGAGGGTAAATAATTTCTTTGTAATCTCACATTAGTCCAAAAGAAAAAAAGTGAATCTTGGACTAGGATCAATTACTTTTACTTCTACCCAGGGTCTCTGAGTTTGGTTTCTGATACAAATATCTAATCTATGCAAATAGTGGCTGTCTATATAATTTGCTTCTTTTTCAGTTCTGTTGTATATAATTTAACATATCTATTCTGGGTTCCATTTTCCCTACGGTATAGGCAGAAGTTTCATTATTTACCTTTGTAGCTCTAGATCTTGAGAAAGTGCCCCACACTATTATTTTATAATAAGAATACTTAGTGTACTGAGGGGATCTTAAAAATACATAGGAGAAGGTATACATGACAGGAATCCTTCCGTACAGCTCCTCTTCCCTCCCATCTCTCTCCCTCCACTTAGCTTTCTTTCCTTCTTCTCTCCTTTTTTCTTCTTTGTTTTTCATTTTGTCTACTTTCTATGTCTATGTGGTCATTCGTTATATACTACCTGTGTCTCTTTCTTTGTACCTACCTATTCATCTATTTATTTATGTTCCTTCAGAAATAATTTCACTTTCTCATAAATTCTTTCTTATTTGACCCTTGGCAATTATAGTTCACTTTTTGCTCATGGTTTCTGTTGCTTGTACAAAAGTGTCCACTAGATTTTCTTCACTGTCTGGGAACCACTGTGATCAAAATTACAGTCTAATCAGAAGGTGAACAGCTTATAATGTATCATGATCAATACTTAGAATTTGCTCCTTAGGTTGGGACATGAAGGAGTGAAGTAAAAAGGGGCAGATTTTTCAGCTGTGAAGCGCAAACAATCATTTCATGTTGATGGTTTCAAATTCAAGGTCGATTTATACTTTCATACATCTGCATTATTCTATCTCTTTTACTCCCTTTTTAAATTCATATTGAATTTATTCAGTGCTAGGCCATCCAAATTGCTGATATTGAAGGCCAGTCAATATTGGAATATAAAACTATGTTAGCATATTTCGAAGAGAGTGCATTGGTTGTAAATGACTTTTTTAGAAGTCATGGCTCTAAAAGCTACAAAAATATTATCTAATGAAATAGACAGTATTCTACTATATTTGTGGAGGACAAAATTGGTTGAATGAAATCATACGTATTTTCTTTCTAACACAAACAGACACAGATGTAAAGGTGATTTTTATGATTCCCATGCAGAATAGATAAAGAAAACAGATACCTGATATGAAAATTTTCTAATATCCATTTGTTTTCAAATTTCTGTTTGACTTTAATTCCATACAGGAAGGCTTCCTAGAAAATGTATAATGCTAGATTTTTCTGCTGCTGTTTGTGTCCGTCTAACAATCTTCCAAGAAACAGATAGTATTTGAGTCTCTAGGTATGAGTACTTGAGTTCACTATTCTTGCCTGCATTACATAATAAAATTAATATATTTCATCCATTCATATGGAAATATATTTTTGAAAACATGACAAAATTAAAATACAGGCAGGCTACCTGAATACATTTTTAACATTTCACCAATATGAAAGACACGTGTTATGAAAAACCACAATATTTTTATTCTGTCAAGACACTATTCTAACTTCTTTCGAGAAAAAAATTAATCTCATAAGAAATTCTTTTATCTTAAAACCTTTTGAGATAAATCAACTTGTAGTTTATGTTTTCTTTTTTGGATAAGGAATTATTTATATGTTTTAAATATGAACTCAGATTTTACATATGACTTTGAACAGTAACTGTATAATGTATCAGGGCTATTAAATATGGTGCTTTCTATTTTAAGTATTTTCCATGTGGCCTTTTTTCCCTTGCACAGGACACTATGAATTTGTAGAGATCCTCTCACATCAATTAAATGGCTGCCCCAAGGGTTGCTAAATGTGTGGGGAATTCTAGTCCCATCACACAGAGGTGAAGTGTAAATATCCTCTCCTGGAAAAAAAAAAGGTCCTTGATTTAAAAAGAACCATTAAATATAAGGGGAAACAATCATTTGTAGATGAAAGCGACAACTGGGAAGAGGTATTTCAGTTATACTTCAAAATATTGGGGCAGTGGAATTATGCAGCTATCGTCATTATGAAGGAATTTTCTTTCATATTTTCTGTTCAGCATCTTTGAAAGAGAGATCATTAAAGACTGCTTTATTTAGATTCTCTGTATGCCTATTGGCAAAAGAGAGAAGCAAACATTTTCACAGAAGACATTATCGTGGAAAACAGGAAATCATGAGTTGTCATTCATCTGAACTCTGTTGACTAAACCCATTTTCACCTACTTACACCAAAAAAAAAAAAAACACTGAAGTGAAGAAAACTGTTTGCATGATCCATACCCATATCTAATAAAATAGGAATGTGCACTTTTTGACAAGTTTATTCATAACATATTCTGATAGAAAATTCCATTTGCTCCTCTCAGTAGGAAAGGTAGGCTTTTAAAGGAAACCTTTTATTTCATGACTGTCACCAAAATAACAATTACAAGCAAAATAGGGATAAAACATGAAAAAAAAAAGCAGCTTAGGGCTTGTTATGGAAGTATGTGATCTAGTTTTTGCCCCATTATTTGATTTGAAAAATTAATCCTGGTAATCCTTTTTGAAGTTCACTGTTTCCAGGATGGGTTATACAGAACAAAGACTAACTGATATCTCCAGGAGGTTAGTTTACAGTGATGTTCTATTCCACTGAGAATGATTCTCCAATGGCCACTTTTTACTTCTTCCCAGGCTATGGGAATTCATTAATATCTAGAGAATAGACTTAAATAAAACCATTGTCTCAACCAGCAAGTTTATGCAACCATCCTGAAATGTTTTAATTATTGTTTTCTTTTCCTTTTTAATTAAGAGACCAGAGGTCAAACAAGCCCACTGAGAGCTGATTGCAGCCTCAGTAGAAATTTAAAAGCAACCCTAATGATTGGATTTGCTGTTTTCTCTTTTGTTTTGCAGAACCAGAAGAGTGCGTTAATTGCACAGATGAATGCCGAGTGCTTGGTCATTCTGACAGGTGTTGGATGCCACAGTTCCCTGCAGCCAATCAGGCTGAAAATGCAGATTACCGCACAAATCTCTTTGTACCCACAGTTGAAGCTAATGTTGAGACTGAGACTTACGAAACTGTGAATCCCACCGGGAAAAAGACTTTTTGTACATTTGGAAAAGACAAGCGAGAGCACACTATTCTCATTGCCAATGTTAAACCTTATTTAAAAGCCAAACGTGCCCTGAGCCCTCTCCTCCAAGAGGTCCCCTCAGCATCAAGCAGCCCAACGAAGGCATGCATCGAGCCTTGCACCTCAACAAAAGGCTCTCTGGATGGTTGCGAAGCGAAACCAGGAGGCCTGGCCGAAGCAAGCAGCCAGTACTTGCCCACTGACAGTCAGTATCTGTCACCCAGTAAGCAACCGAGAGACCCTCCATTCATGGCTCCCGATCAGATGGCAAGGGTCTTTGCAGATGTGCATTCTAGAGCCAGCCGGGATTCCAGCGAGATGGGTGCTGTTCTTGAACAGCTTGACCACCCCAACAGGGATCTGGGCAGAGAATCGGTGGATGCAGAGGAAGTCGTGAGAGAGATTGATAAGCTTTTGCAGGACTGCCGGGGAAATGACCCTGTGGCTGTGAGAAAGTGAGGGAAAAAAAAAAAAAAAAAAAAGCATTGGCATTTTCTTGTGTCTTCTGTTAATTTAAAAATGATCCTTCCTGGTGACAACCCATTTCACAGGGACGAAGAAAGACCAATGCTGCTTTAAGGCTTTTAGTGAACATCTGAAGTGCCCACAAGTATGTTCTTTTCACTGCTGTTTCTTTTTCAGAGATAACAATGGTTTTGTTTTGACCAAACTTATATTAGGACAGAATTAATGATGCCGAAAGAGAAAAGAAAATGAGAGAAGAAAAAGGAAAGAAGACAAAGGAGGATGAGGAGGCGAGTTACCTTTTGACAATCTGTTAGGAAGGTATGCAGCGTGAGAGTTGAAGTATTTCTGATCACTCTGAGACTGTCCTCCGTGATTTATGCTGACTTAACTGTTTACCTATAAACCCCATACAAAGCAGGGTCATAATTTGTGATCTGTGGTGGATTTCTAGCCGTCATCACAGGCTTCTACTTAAAGTCCCGAAAAGACCTTGCAGTAGTCCAAGCTACCCCAAACATTAACACATATTTGTGGTAAACATTTCTGTACAAAGTTACCTGCCACACATATAAACACAAAGGACATTCCATATCATCAGTCAAAAAAAAATTAAAAAAAAAAAAAAACTTGGTCATTTGTAAGACACTTCATGTCGTATAAAAGTTAAATGTAAAAAGATATAGTCCATTTTGTCCTGCACACACATAGACTAATTCACGTCATTAAAGGAGAAGAAATTTTTTTAAAAGCTTAAAATGCCTCTTCAGCATTTTAGTGTCCAACAAACATATAAATAATGATGGATATGTTTTAAATTTGACCTGAAGAATAGTTACTATTGAATGATAATATTCGGAGGAAATGAACACGATCAATATATTTCATTCGTTTCTGGACACTAAAATAGCTCAGGAAAGTGAAAATGTCTTAGACATCACAAATCACATGACCATTTAAATGTGCAAATGTAAGAAGATTCAATGTGTTTACATCAAATGACATATTTTTATTGATTTATTGCAGATTCAGTGCATATGAGCCAAATTGTTGAGTGTATAAGAGCTATATTGTGTATTTTATTAAATTAATATATAGTTGTGTTGCAAAAATATTTGGGCTTATATTGTAAATGGCAAGTGTTGCCTCGGTAGCTGTCGAACTCTATGAGTTTTGTTTTTTCCTGCTTCCTTTTCCCGATGGAATGTGGGAAGCAGTGCCTCAGAGCAAAGTCTCTTGTTTAATGTATAGTCTACCAAGTACTACAGTACATAATCTGTTCAAAATGTGTTTGAGTGAGCTGATGGAGCTAACTGAAAGGTCAAAAGATACATCCGTCAGTCATGGTTACGTGCAAGTCCTTGTAGAAGCTTTTATTAAAGTCACGCTAAGTCACAAGAATTACATGTGTACCAATACCTGAAACTTGTTCACGTTTTTCCAATAACATACAGCTTCTGCCTATGTAGATATCATAACGTTGATTGGTTCTCAAAAGTATCTTACGTGGTTCAAGATGCGTGTTCCCATTATATTTCAAAACCATGAAAAATGCTTTAATGCATGTGTGGTACCAGCAAAGGTTACTTGCATTGTGTAGTGTTTTTCAAGAGGTCTGGGTCTTAGCAAAATGTTTTTTTTTCCTTTTTCTCAGTACTTTTCTGCCTCCTTTTATTGGCGTCCTTCGAGAACAATACACCTTCTATTCCTTCCTTTGGTTACACCTTTTCTTGTGACATTTAGCAAGTTTCAAACTTACTTCCATATGAGGCTAGGAAACCTCAAATTTCAGGAATTGGGAAAAACAAAATTAGCACTTGCAGAAGTAGCAGCAGATGGGAAAATGCCTTGATTGACATTTTCCTTCAGCGTCGAAAATTTTTGGCATTTTACAGCTTCATGACAAACAGTTTCCAGCCCATACCTTACAAAATGTGGTGCTGAGTTAAATAAAGGCTGTTTGTGCACTGGAGCAGAAAAATGCATTATTTGCAAACTGGTGGAGAATTCTGTGCCTTCTTTTCTGGCCACCAAGCCAGTGTAGAAACAGCATAAATGTCATAAAACCATTATATTAAAAACAAAAACAAAAGCAAAAACAAACAATGAACTGAATTAAGTTTTGTAATTTTAAACCTCAAAAAATTCAACTGAAAATATTTCCGTCAAATGCCGTCAAGATTTTAGACTGTACCTCGTTTGCAAAGCCGCTGTGAAAGGGAAGAGCGGACAACTCCCATCAGCCTTATTCTCTCGAGAACTGGATTTGGTTCCTAGTAACAGCCTTTCCAAAGCTCTACTCTTGGTTTTTATTATTCATAAATGTTTAAATTAGCAAAGAAGGGATCTTGTACATGTGAAACCTAATCGACTCTCTATATTTTGGACAATTTATGTATCTGAAATGTGTTGTCTCTGTTATATGATGTTATTTTTTGCCAGGAGACTACAGGTTGATTTAGCTTGATAGCTGAAATTTGATGGAAAACGAATTTCCATTTAGTCTTACCAAGTGTCGCTTCTCTCTTACTAGGCAGATAGCCGCGTAGTTCAATCTAAGGCAGTATGTAAATGAGATCAACAAAGAGAGTAGGGTTTATTTTTAAAACATTCTTAACGCTGAGTAACCAGTTGTTCAATTTATTATATGTCTGAAGACATTAAAACACTATAAGATTTTAAGAATTGGTTGTGCCAATGTGTGAGGGATTTACCTTTAGGCTCTCTGTCACCAGTGATTTACTAGTGTTAGCTGTTTAACACATTATCTGTATTTAGTAGTGATTATTTATTTACAAGTTGGTGGTAATTTCAGCAGTCAGGACTCTAAGCTCTTATAGTTGAGTTGAGGGAATCTCACCTTTATTCATTTGGCTGGCGGCTGCCTTTATCACAGACCTCTGGTGCTCGGCTTCCAAGGAAGTCAATGAGATGCCAAAATCACCCACTACAGAGCAACTTGCTTTAAGGGGTGATGCATGATCCAACAGTGATGTTTCAAGGGGTTTCAGCATAATTCAGAATGTGGAAAAATTGTCTTAATTCACATCCTCCAAATACCAACCCCTCAAAAAAACCCCACACATTCAAAAAGAATAATTTGATAATACTTTGTCTTTTAGGTCCTTAAATAACTGAAGTGAAGCACAGACTAAGAATTTATAGAAATTTTTGTAAGAAAGTCAAAAAGTTGTAAAAATTGTTTACCGATGAACTAAAAAAAAAATCAGTAACGAAACAACCTTTTCATTAAATGTTAATGATAAAAGATCTTTTCATCAAAGTTCAAAGTAGTGAGAATCAGTGTTAGTTATACCTATACCAAAGTAAACATTAAAGAGACATATCATGCAATTTTAAAGAATGCTTTCATATTACTTCTTAACCTTACATACGTATCCTTATTGCAGTCAATAGACAAAGATTGGCTCACTACTCCATGAATTAATTGAATTCCTAGTTGGGAAATTGACTCTGTTTCCTTTTCCTGAGATTTTGTAAAACATGACTTCCCTTTAAAGGATTTAGGCAGTGCTCAATTTAAAAAATGACACCAGAAAAAAAGTCATGTAGTAGTAGGGCAGTATGCTTTATTAGAACTAGGTTAAAAGCTGTTTGTTGCCTAATGGAGTAGAAGTTGCTGAGGTCAACAAGTAGACTGAGGTCTGGCATAATATATGCCCACTCATTATTGTCTAATTATATTCTTTTGACAACAGACAGCATTTATCACAGCATTAATTCAAATGAGAGTTTTGGCTATCAAGATGTGTTGATTTGAAACATAATTGAATGAGACCTGATTAAAGTCTGACTTTCCTGGCCCCAGTGTTTTGCAGGTTGGCTATTCCCATTCATCAGCCCCATTACTCCATAAGGTTCTTAGCTGCACCAAGCGATTGGTGAACAAGGACAACAACAACAAAAGCAGCATACATTGTATGGATTTATCTCAATGCTATTGTTTAATGGCTGTGTTTAATGTGACCTATCTGGAAAATGAGGACTCCGAATAAAAAGCTATTACTAATAGCGGTGTTGCCTTCCCTTGAATTCATTAACACGGAGGTGATGTGCTATACACTGTGTACCACAGGGACACTGATCGTGATTATTTTGGAAAGCAACTGTGGTATCACAACTGTTTTGACAGTTATTTGTTTGCCGGTAAAATAAGATTTTTGAAAAATCTCTTTGACAGTAATCTCACTGGGTTCTCGACAGGAATGGGTTAACCGTCTTTCAGATAACTTTGCTACTTTGGCTAGTCAGATGGTTACCACAGAGTCATAGCCTAGATGCTTGTGGCTTCCAATTTTTACAGTTGGTTTGAAATTAATTTGGGGCAAGAACCAAAAGGATTTCGGAAAAAGTCCCTTTTAAAAACCATCTCATAATCTCACATGATGGGTGAAAACACATATTTATAAATAGCATTTTAAAGTCAATATATACTTACCATGGCATTGTAAAATAAGAAGCCTCTCTTTCTACTCATTCAACAAACATCCACTGAGTTCCTACAGTGTGTCTGCCCTGGGCTACTATGCCCCAGAAGCAGACAGTAAACGAAGGAGTGGCCCCTGGGTCACAGTCTTGTGAGTTAAAACAGATGGGTAAGTGCTAATGCACCTTGCTCTTTATAACTTGGATGTAGTTGTTTGCATTTCTCCCTCGTTTCTCCACATATCCCTTATTTCTACCGTCTCATTCTCCGTGAATGACGTCTCCTAAATTAAAAAGAAAAACACAATAATCTGCCCAATTGGATTTTTCTTTTAATTTTCTTCTGACAGCATAATACATATCAAGAAGGGTGCACAGCTTGTCCACATCTCAGAAGATCTTTATGGTTTTAGGCTTATTGGGATAGACTGAATGGCTTACCTATTCTTTCTTTTGCTCATTTATTTGTTGAATTCTCTGTTTCTTTCATTGAGCACCACTGAAGTGTTATACAAGGACCCTAAGTTACAAAGAACGAAGCCAATTACAATATGTTGCCTTCAGGGTACTTGTACTTTGTGCCTAGGTGGCATAGACTACCATAGGAATTTGACCTTATGTTGCCTTGACATTACCTTTTCATAATGACAATCTTTTAACGAATAACAGAGTCCCTACGCCTACCATGCCGTTCATTGCTTTCAAGTGTGAGCGGAGAGCAACCTGTCAATTGACTCACCAGTCTAACCAGGGTTGAGGGACCAGAGTCATTCAGATGAAGAATCCTGTCTGGCTATATGCCGCAATTAGAAGAGAGTCAGGAGTGGGGCACATATTATAGGCTTCTTCCACGCCGCTAAAGTATCAAGTC